CTCATGAGGAAGAAACCTTTAACAGAACCAGGCTCAGGACAAGTGGCTATCAGCTTTGACAGGCTGGGTTTGAGAGGAACAGATACACAATGGCAGGTCGAGAATCACGTTAATATAGAAATAGTATCAAATGAAAACTATTCAATTTTAGCAATTCATTTAAGGAAATTAGGTCAGTTTGTCTTCTAGTAGTCTAAGCCTATAGCAGTATAACAAGCCAACCCTAACTATAGGATTTATCAAAAAGATAAGTCTTAAGTCCAGTCTTAAAACTGGACAATGTGTCAGGCTTACAGACAGAAACTGGAAGTTGGTTCCACAAGAGAGGAGCCTGATAACTAAAAGAGCTTCCTCTCATTCTGCTCTTGTGGCGCAGAGGTGAGAAGATGGGCTTGTGATCGGAAAGTCGCAGGTTCACCTCCCAGTACCGTCAACATCAAAATGTGGGTGGAAAAGGTGAAACACCCACACCTGCCTCCACCCTCATTCGCTCCACTCTGGGCCCCTGAGCAAGGCCCTTAACCCCCACCATCTGCTCCCTAAAACAGGTCTCTCTTGAAAATGAGTTCTTGTGGCTCATTGAGACCACCTGTATAAATAACGGGTAAATGAAAATGAAAAAAGCCCGCAGTCTGAGAGCTAAGTGCACTGTTAAATGGTAAATGAACTGTACTTATATAGCACCTTTCTATCTTATTGAGATACAAAGCACTATACACCACAATCTGTGCCCTCATTTACCCATTCATACAGCACTCTACTATATATTTACAAAGACTAATCAGTGCTTTATCACATTCATACACCGATGGGACACGCATTGGCTCAGTGTCTTGCCCAGGGACATTTCAGCATGTGACTACTGGTGGAATCGAACCCCCAACTCTTCCATTGTAGGAGGAATGCTCTAACCACTCAGCCACAGCTGCCCCTGTTTCGATTAGGAACAGGGGCGGCCCGATTCTGTTAGGAAAATTAGGACAATAAGATCTGTAATATAAGATGGAGCTAGGTTGTTGAGAGCTTTGTAGGTTAGATGTAAGATTTTGAATTCAATTCTGGATTTGACAGGGAGCCAATGGAGAGAAGTTAAAACTGGAGATATGATCTCTCCCACTAACTCCAGTTAAGACTCTGGCAGCAGCATTTTGGATCAACTGAAGACTTTTTAAAGAATATTTGGACACCCAGATAATAAACCATTGCAATAGTCCAGTCTAGACGTGACAAATGCATGAACCAGTTTTTCAGCATCATTTTTAGTGTGGATGAACATATCCTGAGATATTCACCTGATTAAAACGGATTCTTTAATTTTTCTGGACTGAATATAAACGTGCATTGAATTTAATAAAATGTAACGTGAGACGTTATTTATCTTTGACCCATCAAAATGAATGTGGTCATTTATTTACAGAATCAAAGTTTAACATCAAACATTTACATTAATTTGGCAAAATATGAAAATAACAACATAATTAATCAGCAAGCTGTACAATTATGATCAATTATCCACACGGCGGTGGATGAGCACTTTACACAGACATTTCTAAAATATCTGGAATGATTTCTACTTGATAGAAGAATTTAAAGATGGAAAATGAAGTTTAAAGGGAGTAAAAGATGGTGTGTTAGGGAGAGTGTTGACCAGAAACGACACTCTCCATTCGAACCCAGCTTTCCTCGGTACGCTCGGTAGTGAACTTGACTCGTCTCTCTGAAGATGAATCAGCGGATACGGAGTTCCAGTTAACGCTACCTGTCCAGCGTCTCCATAGGATGGCTGTGACTCGTCCGAAGTAGTGACGATATTCCGTCTGACACAAGTTCACCTCAGCCAGTGGAACTCACATGAGTGGGGTTCGTCCGAGTTCCACTCAGAGGTGGAAGATGTTATAATCCCAATCTCGGAAGAGCCTTATCATGGCTGGACTTCTGTTCTCCCAAACGACTGGAGCTGCAAACTCTCCAGCCCGACTCCAACGGCAACTCACAGAACTAACTGAGAGAACTAGGAAGTACCGACATTTTAAAGGGCTCTATTTCCGGTTCATTTGGGAGTTTTCTTATTGGTCAATGTCGACCCGACAGGGGTGTGTTTTGTGACGTAAAAGGTTACTAGAAGTCAGAAAACAGCAAGAATGTTATGGAACAGATTGAAAATGTTTTCAGACAGGCGAGAGAAATGTTTGGGCGAGTTTGGAGAAACAGGTGCCAACTTCTCTGTTTACGTCTGAGAGGATTTAAAAACAAGACAGTTGTTCCAACACTTGTCTGCTTCGGCTCCGACCTTGGAACAAACGTACACTGCTCATTCAAAGACAGAAAATCAGAAAATGCATAATTACTCTGTAACAGACCTTAACATGAATTCTAACTTTGCATGAGGAAAAAATAATCATTGTTACTGTTTTACAGTTAATAAAATTGATTAGTTCACTGTAACATCTAAAATGTTTGAACTAAAACACTTTGATTATCAAACATTTGTAAAACAGTAATGATAATAGAAAAGAGAGTGTACTTTCACTTGAATTTTCAAGAAAGAAAGTCTCAGGATGGGTGAACCTGTATTTCTGGATTCAAATCAATGAAATGACAGTTTCTGTCCCACAAGGTTCTTAAGGTCAAGGGTTTTGACCTTAGGTCAAGTTCACTACATTAGATAAGATGTTAATACGTAGGTGGAAGAAGGCGGTTCTAGTAACGTTAAATATGCACCGCAAATATGCTTGATGTTTATACACTAAATGAACACATTTTTGTCTTTTTGAGACTTCCCCACCTGCAAAGTCGTCCTCCGTCAGACGAAATGTAGACGCAGCGGTCGGTCAGGTTGGTGGAGATGGACACGAACTCGTTGATGAAACCAGCTCTGCGCATGAGTCTGAAAGTGTTGACCAGCCTGTGATGGTCTCTGATCACACCCAGGATGTTACCTGTGGAAGTAACACAGACAGGTGAACGAGAGAAGGTAAACATTCAGCTCGGAGTAAAGAAACGCTACAATATTCTACAAACGGTACAGAACAAAAGCTTTAAATGACCCCAAACTTCTTTGTAATTCGTCTCCACAGAGTCAGGCTTGATCTTAAAGTGCTCGTCAAAAACACATATTTAGGCTTTTTGAAGGTCTTTAAAGTTTGTCTTTAGGTTTTTCACCTCGTTTTCAGTCCAGTCCTTGTACCTGACCATGTCAGTAAGTTATGCAGTGAGTGTGTTTGAGAAAATAAATAAAGTGGACAAGTGGAGGATAAAAGAAGTGTCACACCTAAAAGAAAACATCTACAGCAGGTCAACAGTATCTGAAAGACAAATCTTTAGGAAACAGCAACAATTCCAGCAAAGACCCGAGACATGCGTCCTCCTCCAGCTGATCATCATCTGTATGTCAGGTTTCAGCAAACAGCTCTTTGAGAATTGAATTGTTGGCGCAAAAAACCCAAATCATGTGTCGAACTTTGTATTTTAATTGTTTTTAGGTTAAAGTGAATAAATTGAAACAGTTTCTTTGTGACAACCTACAGGTAACAAAGCGACAAAATATTCCTATTAAAAATGGTTTCCTTGCTAAATGGTTCTGTATGACACAACACTGATTCATCTCTAGGGGCTTTTTAATATCTCAGTTATGAACAGGTGATAGGTAGAGACTTAAAAAACACATCGTTATCAAAATGGTCAGGACTGAAAATAAGTTGAAAACGTTAAAAAAAAGGGAAACTATCCAATACCCTGAAGAACTGTTGATCAAAACAACTTATAAATATTACAAGGAAGTCTGGATTATTGACAGAGACTTATGAAGAAATAATGGATGATTAAGAACTCCTGCACAGGACTGTACATTTCAATATTTTCACAAAAAATATAAATTTAACTTTGAACACTATAGCCGTTTTCATACAGTGGTGTAGTAGAGTAAAAGAGTCACATCAGTGTTTGATTAAACGTGTCACAGGATCAGACGTGCTGTTTGTCAGAATCTTCTGCAGCACCAGAGTCCTGCTTCATGCAGAGGTGGATTTAAAGTCAAAGGCTCTGATAGTTAATCAATGTGAAAACTACTGAACACGCTGCTCATTCTGTCTCTAGAGACAGTAACAGGAGTTAGTACGTCCATGCTCCCTTCGTCCCGCCACCGGGCTTGCACAGCAGGGGATCTTATCGGCTCTCCCTCCAGAAGGAGATGAAGCCCCAGGAGCCAGGACTCGACCCCCACAAGCACGGCTCGAAGCGGGGTTCCCCCAGTTTTCCAAATATGGACGAGGTTGCCTGATTAACATGGTCTTCCTCCATCATCAAGGTCTTCGAATTGCTCTTCGTCTGACGCCTCTCCTGAGGCCAGTTTGAGACCTTAGTCCCAAATAACATAATACCCAGGATCAGGGGGGTCCTCAAACTCCTCCACTAGATTAAAATAGTGATTCTCTGCATTGAAATGTGTTAGCTGAGGTGGTTTGGACAACTGATTAGGACGCCTCCTGGGTTTTATAAAAACGTCTCACAGGCAAAGACGGGGACAGACTCAGAACTTGCTGAAGGGATTATCCATCCTCTCTGGCCTGGGAACAATCCCAGAAGGAGCTGGAAGGAGGAATATCTGAGCTTCTCTCCTGAAACTTTTGTCTTTTACAGGTTCAATTTGTCAACTAAATTCGCCCAAATGACACAAGATGTAAAGGTACTCTGCGTCTAGTTATGTACATTATAACGTCTCAACTCCTAGAAACTCTGGAGGATTTTTATTTGGAAAAAAGGGTAAAATTCTGTCTTATTTATGTGTAATTCTGGCTCCAAAAGCTGAAATTGTGAGGAGGAAGTGTGAGCTTTGCTGTGTCGCTGTGAACTCTGAGCCTCGCTGAGTTTAAACTGCCTGCGGGGGATTCTTCATATCACTTCTGACAGAAAACGGAGTGGAGGAGAGAGAAGAGCGAGCTCTGCCTGTGCGTGAGGAAACGCCCCGAAGGGCTTTGACACCTGCTGCTACTAACTAATTAAAGAGCACGGCAGCTAATATAACGACAGTTATCAGTGCAAAGGCAAACAAATACAGTAATTAAATGTCCAGGTTTGGATTCAGGAATAAAACCAACTGCTGCCGTGAAATTAAAGACTTATCAGCACGCCTGCAAAATGCTAAATTAAACTGAATACTTTTCATGTTTATGAAGTAAATACATTTAAAACTGGAAGGATTAAATGATCTGAAGTTGGTTTGAATTCGGTTTTATTCATTTATTTGGTTCTGCCGGTGTGCAGGAGGAGTTTTACCATTGAGGAAAACCAGGAAGACGCTCGGGTAGGAGAGCTCCTCCCCACTCAGCAGGTTGACGTCCTCGACGCCGAGGTTGAAGGCCAGTTTGATGATGGGCCCGTCCTCCATGTCTGTGGTGATGTGGGTCATCAGAGCCAGGTTCTTCACCAGACCACAGGCCTACAGAGACACACAACACGTGTAGGACGACACATTTTCAAATCTCTGTTCTGTCAAAAATGACTTTCAGTTTTATGTTTGTGGCAGAAGAGAGAACTTCAAATCTTATTTTAAAGATATTCATTATCGCCCCAGCTCGCAAGGGCGAATCTGAACTTTGCTCGTGTCTACGTGTATTTTGCGTGTGTGACTGTGTGTCTGTGTTAGCAAAATGTTGCATGAACCGCAGGACGAGTTTTAAAGAAACATGGAGAAAGTCCTTTCAGGCTCCTCTCGAACGGAGACAATCCAGTTACAGATGGCCGCCACAGCTAATTGACAAGCTAACACTACAATGGCTTCAATCAGCATGAAGTTTACAGATACAGAGATTTCAATTGATGTGGTAGTAGCTGAGAGTCATTCACATCACGCTGCCGCTTTTATCTAAAAACAAAGAGTAAAATATATATATTTTTTTTTATTGCCACAAGTTTTACATTCTGCTAAAGTTCTGATGATTGTTTCTGTGAAGCACCACAAATCTTTTAACATCTGTATAATTACTGGCCGGCGGCACGGTGGTAGTTGTTCGAGCTACTGCCTCTCAGCGAGAAAGTCCCTGGCTGGTACAAATCCCGGTCCGGGGGTCTTCCTGGGTTGAGTTTGCATGTTCTCTCCGTGCATGCGCAGGTTTCTCCAGGTACTCCAGTTTCCTCCCACAGAAACATGCATGTTAGACTGATTGGTAACTCTAAATTGTCCCTAGGTGTGAGTGAGAGAGTGAATGGTTGTTTGTCTCGTTTGTCTCCATGTATCCCTGTGATGGACTGGAGACCTGTCCAGGGTGTCCCCCGCCTCTTGCACAGTGATGGCTGGACATGGGCACCAGTGACCCCACAACCCAAAATGGAAGATGATGGATGGATGATTACTGGCAAAGAATCATCAAAATTATTCATGAAGTTTTTATTCAATGATTAAGAATTTAAATCACGTGTCAAATTCAAGGCCCGGGGGTCAAATATGACTTTTGTTAACATCTTATTTGGCCCCCAAGAGGATCTTTTGGAAGTCAAATATTTTTTATTGATTCTCATTTTACTTACGAACTTAGCATACTTTAGTTAGTGTGGACTTCTCATGACAGTCGACCGACTTTCAAGTCAAGAAAAATCATTTTGAATTTTTCCACAAGTTGATTTTGATGTGGATAAAAGCAACAGAGAACATAAAAATGAGGCAGATGAAGCCCTTGTTAAGGAACCTGCAAGCAAGAAAAGACGTCAGGCATCAAACTGAATGTGAAACTGACCTTGGCTTGAAATAAACGTTGCATTTTGGCTCCCTTTTGCAATGGAGTTTGACACCACTGATCTAAATGGTCGAATTTATTGTGAAGGCTTTTTAAATCACAAAGTTTTCACGCAAAAGTCCAATACATGCAGCAAACTGAACTGCTTGTATTGGGTTCTTGTAGAACGGGCCGGGTGTGGCTGCTGCGGTCCTCACCTCTCCTTCAGGAGTGTCAGACGGACACAACATCCCCCACTGCGAAGGCTGCAGGGACCGCGGCCCGCTGACCTTCCTGGTCTTCTCGAACTGGGAGGAGATCCTCGTCATCATGCCGAGAGCAGAGATGTAGGAGAGACGAGACAGAACCTGGGTGACGCCCTGACGGTCCATCTTGAACCTCTTCAGAGACCAGTTGCCCTGTTGTGATGGAAAACGGCACGAGAAGTTCAAGACTGTTAACGTGAGAATAAAAGGACAGGAACCTGTAGGTATTAGCTCTGGTTTGTGTGTGCACAGGCTCACAGTGGATATGGCGTTGACCATGCCGTTGGTGATCTGATCCTGCCGCATGTGTTTGACCACGTCGAACTGAGCCGCTCGCTGCTTGGGGATGATCTGGTCAGCGATCTTCTTCAGTTCAGAGTTAAACTTCTTAAAGAGATCTTCAAACAGCAGAGACAAGAGCTGAAGAAACAGAGGGCGCGTCGTTACCGTTCAGAAATCAAAACCTTCAGCTCGTTCAGGAGATGGGAGATAAAACTTTTGTTTGTGGTGAAATTTATACTTTCAAAATATTTAACTTGCATTTAATAAATCTTCAGAGAAATTCACTGAGATCACTTCATTTCCTCTTTTAAAGCTGCTTCAGCATACTGTCTTCATTTTCCTGTTCTTATCCTCCTTTAGCTTTTTGCTACAGTTCTGCCACTTTGAACTTTTAGCTTTTAGCCAGCCTTATGATACTTTTAGCTAAAAGTATCAATAAATAGGACTATATATATTTCAGATAACTTCTACTTGTCCCTCAGAGGGAAACTTTGCTTTAACAGTGGTTGTAAAAACAACCAATACAAATGACAACATTCTGTTTTCCCTTTTCGGCTGCTTTGTTCTGCAGGGGTGAGGCAACTTGGCAACCGTTTTAAGTTAGATGTGCTTCCTGATGCAACCTGGACTCTAACCCACTACCTCAGAACTAGAGGACTGAGGCACTGACCACTGAGCTACCACAGCTGTTGCTTTGCTACTTTTAGTTAGCATTTTGGTAGCTTTGTAGCTAGAGTTCTGCTTCTTTTAGCTCTAACAACTCTTCTTCAGCAGATGTCAACGTTTTTTTTTTTTTTTGCTTTGTTTTGTTTTTTTTGTTTTGTTTGTTTTCTTGTTTTTTGAATGTCCAGAGGACCAGATTGAACTTTTTTGGATTTTTCTACCTGGATTATTGAGCATGTATCAGGATGTCAACAGTTACTTAGCACTCAGTGTTCACATTGCAGGAAATGCAGTTTCGTTCCTTTGACAAGTTCACCCTAAGGTTGCAGAATTAAAACGATCTGTTTCGGGGACCAGAGTCGCCTGTGTTCTCGTCTCTGTGCTCCTGCCCATCTCTGATCAACACCGAGGTGTATTTACCGTCTGATTTAATAAACCAGGTGTGTCGGCTTACAAATAAACCTGCCCTGGCCTTCGTCCCAGGTCGCCGTCTTCCTTTGCCAGGTCTACAGCCTCCCAGCCCACCTTCTGCATTAGCATACATCAAAACAAACACGCGGCGCTGCTTGAAATTAATAAAGAAATTAAGCTTCCATTGCGCAGCCCGGCCAATTAGTTGAATGTCAGGGAACTATAATTGGAGAGCGAGGAGATTGCTGGCGTTGTTGGTGTGTAAAAGCCCCTTTTGAAAGAAGCTCTGTTGCCCCCTCCTCCCATCTCCTGCTCTGTATACAGAGCAGGTTGGGGGGGAAATTAAAGGCCTTAAGACAGCAGTAATTACATTATCAGAGCAGAGCCTGCGGATTAGCTCAATCGCTCCAGTCAAGGCAGCATTTCTATTGTCACGGTGCAGAACCCCCACCCCCCCACCCCACCATACTTCCACAGACTTGGGATTTCAGTGCCACCGCATATCTCTCTCCTGACAAAGCCAGGCTGAAGCATGAGGGGAGGGGGCATGAAAACAAAACAGGGGGAAAAACAAAGCGGAGCGAAAAAATAATGAGCCTTATTAAAAGAAGGTGGCAGGAACAAAGGTGCAGGTGAGACATCAGAGCTGGAGCTGCTGACGGAGTAGCGCTGTGGTCCATTCACACTAATTATTAATGAGAATAAATATGATTTGTTGTTTTTATGAGAAAAGAAAAAGTAAATACCTTTCAGGTAGCAAAAATTAATAAAAGAGTAAACAGCAAAACCCAAGGGGAGCTTTAAAACTACAGCTCATGGTTTTGTCGTTAAAATATTTTTTCAAAAAGCTGATTGGATGGAGGACTTAATGAAGCAAACAACAAACTAAACCCCGCCCACACACACAACAGGTGCATGGTTAGCTTACCTGCCCAGCCAGCTCAAGACGTTTGTTGCCATAGTAATCCCTGTCATCAACCTTGTTGTCTCCCTGAGCCAGGATCACCCTCCGAACCATCACGGCCAGGTAAATACATTTGGCCCGAAAGTTGAACTCTTTCACCTGAAGACAAAACGTAAAACAAACGAAGTAAACCGGCGAGCGGATCAATTAATGTAGCAAACAACTCCAGAGGTTTTTAATCTGTTTACATACAGGCACGTGGCTGAGGATGAGAGAAGCCAACAGCTCTCTGGCTTCCTCCATCTTGGTCTTCTTTGGTCCCCCCCACATCCGCTGCCGCCGGACTTTGTTCCCCAGAAACCTCAGAGCCTGAAGCAGAGCAGGAGACAGAACGGGTCAGGAGGAAACTGAAGGAGAACCGCATGATGGATCCAAAACCAGGACGAACAGGTGCAGCTAGCTTGAAACTTTTACAATGTGGAACGTTTGTCAAAGAAAAATGACAAATTGATCCTCGTGCTTCAAAAACGTGACTAAAACAATTATCAGACATGTTTTCTGAAAGGAATGCATATCACCCACAACTGTCAGTTTCAGACTCCAATACAGTAGTCCCTCGCTGCTTCGACTTTTGCAGACTCACTCTTTCACATTTTTTTTTTTTAAGTAAGATTGAACACGAGAAAAAAATTTGTACATGACACAGGATTGTCAACTTTAATATTACTCACATGATTGGGACAGTACGGGGTACAGTAAAAAGTTAACGAGAAAAATACTTGGAACAGGCACTGCCTTGTTGTAGTTTTCTCTCAATAAGCCTATACTGTATCACCACTCAAAATGACTACATTTCCCAGAAGCACCAACAGTGCCTCTCCAGCCGTTGCTTTCTGCTGAAATGGAGGGAAAGTTTTGATCAGATCCAAAAACGTTTGGTCCTTATTCAAAGTGACTTCGGCGCTCAGTGGATACAGAGAGCCATACGGAACCGACCGGGAATTGGACCAGAACCAGACTTGGAGCCTCATCGGTCAGTCTGAGTGCTGCTTACCGACCCATGAGGCCTCTCGAGTGAAGAGGCATCGCTTGGAGGTCCGGTGTTTTCTCCGGAGCTCACGGGACATTTTTCATCTGGATTTGGACTCGATCAGGACCATTGTGTGGTTTTGTTTGCCGTACGTAGCTGCTGCGCAGTACATAGTTAAAATTGTGTAGGTTTTAAGAGTTTAGAACATTGTGGGCTTCGTCGCGGCAGGGTAGATCTGCAGAACTAGAACCGAGCCGGACCGGAACAGAGCTGCTATTCTGCAGAGGTGGCGAGTAAAATTTTGCAGTACTGTACAGTAGAGGGCGGCTGTGGCTGAGTGGTTAGAGCAGTCATCCTCCAATGTGAGAGGTGGGGGTTTGATTCCACCAGCAGTCACATGCTGAAGTGTCCCTGGGCAAGACAATGAACCCCTCATAGCCTCTGATGCGTGTCCCATCGGTGTATGAATGTGATAAAGCACTGATTATTCAAAGTACAGATATTGTAGAGTGCTGTATGAATGGGTAAATGAGGCACAGATTGTGTTGTAAAGCGCTTTGAGTATCTTGATCAGATAGATAGGCGCTATACAAGTACAGTCCATTTACCATTTACATACACAGACCCTTTCCAAAAAATTAGAATATCATGGAAAAGTTGTTTAACTTCCATAATTCCTTTCAAAAAGTTAATCTTTAATAGATGATAGAGTCAGGGCCCACAATTTAAACGATTTCAAGTATTTATGTTTATTTTTACATAATTTGGGCTTCCAGCTCATAAAACCCACAAAAACAGGATTTCAAAAAAATTAGAATACTGTGAAGACGTCAGCCCACACTACTTCTTAGTTTTTGCAGGAAAAAAGAATGAAATCAGGATCACAACAAATCAATCAAAATATGGTACTTTCAAAACGATACGTCAATCTTCAATACTTGGTTGGGAATCTCTTTGCCTTAATCACTGCATTGACTGGGAGTTATGGAAGCCCAGATTTCCTTGATGCTTGCGGTCAGCTCTTCTTTGTTGTTGGGTCTGGTGCCCCTCATTTTCCTCTTGAGAATACCCCATAGATTCTCAATGGGGTTCAGGTCCGGTGAGTTGGCTGGCCAGTCAAACACTGTGGCATGGGCATAAAAACCAGGTTCTGGTGCTTCTGGCGACGGGCAGGGGCCAGGTCCTGCTGGAAGATGAAATCTGCATCTCCATACAGATCCTCAGCAGAAGGAATCATGAAGTCCTCTAAAACATTCTTCTAGATTGTTGCGGTGACCTTGGATTTAAGAAAGCAGTTTAACAACACCTGCACTGGACATTGCACCCCAAATCATGACTGACTGTGGATGTTTCACACTGGACCTCAAGCAGTATGAGTTCTGTCCCTCAGCCTTCTTCCTCCAAACCCTTGGATCTTGATTTCCGAATGAAAGGAACACTTTTTTTTAATCGGAAAAGAGGACCGGTGTACCCGACAGTTGTAGCCCATCTCCCGGATGTGTCTGAATGTGGTGGTTTTTGAAGCTGTGACTCCCGCCTCATTCCACTCTTTCTGGATCTCTGCCAGATTCTGGAATCTTCTCTGTTTGATAATCTGCTGAAGCCCACGGTCATCTCTTTTGCTGGTGCATCTTCTCCTGCCACATTTTGCCCTTCCACTAGACTTTCCACTGATATGCTTGGACACAGCACTCTGTGAACAGTCAGCCTCCTTAACTATGAACTTTTGTGGCTTACCCATCCTATGGAGGGGATCAATGATGGTCTTCTGGCCAGCTGTTATGTCTGCAGTCTTCCCCATATTGAACCGAACTGAGACAATTGAACCAAACTGAAGCAATTTAATGACACCTGGGGAAACTTGTGCAGGTGCTTTGAGTTTAGTAGATGATTAGTGTCACACTCAGTTTAAAACATTCATGCCCTGCAAAATTTGGGCTAATTTCTCCACAGTATTCTAATTTTTTGAATTCCTGTTTTCATGAGCTGGAAGACCAAATTATGTAAAAATAAACAAATAAATACTTGAAATTGTTTAAATTGTGGGCCCTGAATCTATAATTTATTAAAGATTAACTTTTTGAATGGAATTATGGAAGTTAAACAACTTTTCCATGATATTCTAATTTTTTGGAAAGGATCTGTATGTATGTTGTTAAAATGATGTAGGTTTAAGTTTATAACATTGAAAGAATGTGGGAAGGGTTTATAAAGCCTTAAAATATATAATTACAAAAATAAATATAGCATTCCTACTTTGCAGATTTTTCACTTATTGTGCGGGGGTGGGGGGGGGGGGTTGTTAAAATATAACCCCCACGATAAACTAGTGACTACTGTACATTGAGAAATTATGGAATTGTAGACATTTATGTAAAAAATAAATAAATAAATAAAAATCATACATTATTAGCTGTCACTCTCTTGTTAATGACTCTCAGCTACTACCACATAATTTTTTAGCTCAATATCAATAAACTTGACAGAGTTATAGCTGCTTTTGTGTTGAAAATGTAAATATATTGAGTTTAAATAATATTATAACGATGACTCTATTCTCCCAAAGACAAACCTTTAGACTATAGAGATCAGAGTGGCAGTTTTTTTTTTAAATGAACATGAAACAGAAACGATGAAAGAAATCCACATAAGCCCTTGTTTTAATAAATTATTTTAAACTTCAAAATCAACGTTAGATTTAGATTACTAAAAAAAATGTAAATACTAACCCCCAAACTTTTTTTTTTTGTTTATTCCTACCAATAAACTTTGAAAAAACAGTAACGTTTCTAGAGGTCGTTCTCGTGTAAACAGGGCCTAAATTTTAATGCAACAACTGTTTCACCCCAGAATTTAGGGAGGGGGTGTAATCGATGCTGAAAGGTGACCACCTAATCAGCAAAGAAATATACATTTATCAGTGGGACTTGTCATAAAAAATACAAATATGTTGATTTTATGGAAAAAGAGCAGAAGCAGATTCAAAGTAAAGAAAACATAAATAGTGCAGATGTCATCAAACACACATCTGAGAAGGTGTTTATTTAAAAATAAACATCCATGGTTAAAAAAAAAAGATTGGTTTGTGAAATCTTAAATACAGACATGCAAATGTGTATGAGTCTAGCGCAGCTAGTTTAAAATCATAATCTCCATCTAATGCGAAGAAAAAAAACAATTTGATGAAATCACCACTTCTTTTTTAGATTCTGGTATCTAAAAATAGATAACAGTCAAATTTGGTTTGTGCAGATCACTTATAATCTGATAACAAGGTTTCTTAAGCCTTATCTGCCTTTAATTATATAGATTTAGGTCTCATTGTGCACGACACAAAAGCCCCGATGAATAACCTGAAAAGACGTCACGGATGCTGGCAGACACAGAAACGCAACGTGTTGCTAGGACGCAAATATGGCCTCGTCGACGCATCGGTGGATCCTCCAACAACAGAATCTGTATCAAAAACAAATCGACTGCATGATGCAGGACTCCAGTATGATCATGAAAAACTGTTTAATTGTCTGGAAAGAGTTGATCTTCATCATCTGATCAGGAAAAGAGAACGCCTGATGGTTTAAAATTTCAACACGCATGTTTTCACGGCCACGCCACGTTCGGCTGACATGTTCATTTTCTTCTGATTCGTCCTTCAGGGAATGCTGATAAAAATGTGATTGGTTTTATCAGAGGTGAAACCAGTGAATGTTTCCAAACACAAAGCGTCACTTCACATCCCATCTGATGAATCGGTAGGAAAATTGACAAGCTGGGATCGTTTATTTCTCTAACTTCCTGATTTTTGGTGCCACATTGAGGACGCTTGGCAACCAGCCGAGACTCCAATTAGTGGACAGAGACGGGTTGTCTTTCACATCATTTCCAGTTCTTGTCCGAGGCTGAGCTAACCAGTTGTAGCACACTACCTCAACGTTCTTACATCTTTTACTTTCTATAATGGGGTTAAGCTCCACAACAAACTGGACTAGGCCTGTCACGATAACAAATTTTGCTGGATGATTGTCTGAGAAATGTTTGCGATAAACAATAATATTGTTTGAAATTTGACAATAAAATGTTTAATTTGTTTTGAGTGTAGTACTTTTTTGACCACCGGATGGCAGTATGTGACTGTTTGAACTGAAGGATGGATAGTGAGGGAGTGAGCAGCGTGTCTCTTTAAGAAAAATGGGAGGGAGGCCCCTTGACATGACATGGGCTGTCTCTCCTTCCTTTATTCGGTTTTCAAAATGGCGGACCCTCAGTGTGGTTTGAGCTCTTTAGCATTTTTCACACAAAGCTTTTAATAAATAAATCAGTAAACAAGTTCTCAGCTTCTTTTTGCAGAGAAAAACAACTTTTTAGACGAAGGCACGGGTTTAAACCGTGAATTTTGGAGCTTCGTCAAGACGGAGGTTTTTTCCCATGAGGTCGATCTATTAGCTTAGCTCGTAGCTTAGCTTCTCAGCTTAGCTGCTTTTAACCATCGAAAAACACAATTTTGGATGGTTAAAACAGATTTTAAAGAGAAAAGAGAAAGGGAGGAGTCAGTGAAGAACGCCCGAGTTTTAACCTTTTGTCATCCAGTGTCTTCAGTAGAAAGAGAGAGACACGAAGAAACGATAAAGCCGGTAAATGAAAATGAGGTCAAAATTTTTTATTTATCATGAGATTTATTGATTAATTGATTTATTGTTTATCACGACAGGCCTAAACTGGACCTTAAACTTTCAGGAACAGGAGCGATTTGTTTAATATACATCAGCAGAGCAGGCATCAAACCTCTGAGCCAATGGTGGCGCTCTTTGGTTTCACAAATCTGCTTTACTCGTTAGGAGGTCAGAGTCTGTCTCCATGTCTCCTCCTCTGTTTTCTTCTTTTCTGGTGCAGTCGTTAGATCAAATGTGTTCATCAGCAGCACGAGATCAGTTCTGAGTGGATATCTTTCCCATCCGTCTCACCTTAAAACACCTAAATTAGAAGCTCGTCAGACGTTTTTGTTTCATTTTTCTTTATCTTAGATTTAGTCACACTTTTAGTTCCCAGTTTATTTATTTACCGTTTCGTTTTTGCATGGAGGAAAAAAAAAGTTGACATAATATTTTTATCATAAATGCATAACAAGAACTTATTTTAGTGGTATATAAAACAATCCCTGAGCTGTTTTGAAAAAACTTTTTATTGGCATCACGTTTATTTTTTATTCGTTTCAAAACTTTATTTCTTTATTTTCGATGGCTGTGCTTTTTGCATCGACGCTTGTTTCTTTCACAGTGACAATATTTGTAGATTAATTCTGCGAATGCAGAAAAGTGTAAAACTGAAACTGATCATCAGATGAACGGAAAAAAAAGCTCCCATGGATGATTTTAGTGGGGTTTTTTCTGCTGTAATACCTGAGTCTGTGTGAAGATCTGGGCTTTCTGACACTCCTCCAGGCTCGAGGCGAAGCTGGCCATGACGTTTTCCTCCGTACCGATCATCTGCACGATCTCCTGGTCACTCTCCACACCCATGCCCTGTGTGGGTCACACATAAACAGGAGGAGGAAATGATCTCAGCTCAAATATAACATTTATTGAACCACATGAAGACCTGAGACAAGAAGACATAAGGAGGTGAGGTGTGTTGACGGGGTCGGAGGGGCTGAACTGGAGTCAGGAGGCTGTGTGACATTTGCTTATGGAAATGTGAAGCTGTGGGAACTGACGTGTCGGGGCCCCGCAGTGGATATGAGGTCGTCCCTGTTAAACATGATGAGCGGAAACAGAGGATTCTGACACGTGGAACTCACAAGATAACACGTTTAAAGAGATTTCCCCCAGAGGTGCTGGAGCATCATGATGCCTGCTGTCCAAGTGACGTTTTCACTGAGAGCTCCATCATTTTAACCACTGGCTGATCAAACCCGCCCAAAACATGAAGAAATCACAGCTACAGTGCAGGAAAAGGAAAACTTTTCATTTCTTCCAGCATCACCTTGTTGTGTCGTGGCACCATCTACTGGACACGCATTCAACCTGCGTTACCTTGAAAATGATGGCGATGGGAGCGTCTTCTGACAGCGTGTTGTGTCTCAGGTAGAAGCGGCCTTGCTTCACGATAAGGTTGGTTCTGCTTTTCTTCTCGTGAGTGGAGCTGGAAAAGAAAGTTTTGCATTCAGGAAACAAATTAAGCTTTTTTTAAATGATTAATAACCGAACACTACAAAAAGATACAAATACTGACTTGTGAAAGGTTTCATAACTGCACTTTAAAAGATGGGGTTTTTAACAAAATAATGAAAGATAAAAAATGATAAAGAACACAAAGGGGCCAGACTATATGAGAAACTTAAAACAAGAAGTTTTTAAATATCTGTTGTGAGATGATTCTAGCAGTATTCCAGTTTCTTTTATCTACTTAATGAAGAATATGACTTAAAATCATTCATAAAACAGGAAGGAGGGCTTATTATCCCTCCTCTTACTACAGTGAATGTGGTACTTTGCTAAGTACAACTATATTTATAGCATCAGAGAAGCTGAGCTTAAGTTATCCACATAAAATAAAATGGCATCAGCATCAAAAGAAGAAACGTTAAGTTTGAGATTTATCCAGTTTCTGATGTCTGACCAAACACTTAATGAGTATTGACATGAAAAAAATAAAAAAGACGGATGGATTACTCTTCTGATTTACAAAAGACACACAAATCAACCGCAAATTTAAATCTTCTTTGCAGAAACACGACTACAGGATATATTTTATTTATTATTTTAAAATGATTCTCCTTCACTTTAGGCAATTTAGGCCATTTGACAAATGTAGAATGAGCAGAAGTCATTATGGTTCTATGATTTATATTGGGAGGTTTCTTGAAGGAATATTTGTTGTAATCAGTAAATCCTTTGTCACAAACATTCATTGATAATCTTTTGCATTTGAAGACAACTCAGTCATTTAATTTTAATGTGGGCATCAAAACGGTCACCTTTGACTATATAATATTTTTAATTAATCGAATCAAAGCTAAGTGGATTGCATTACATACCTTCTTAAAATCTTTATGAGCAGCTAAGGTTATATTTTCTAACAAAAGATGAGAAATTTAAAAGATCTCCACTACAATCTAAGATATCCTTTACAAAAAATGATGCCTTTTTCATACAATCTTTTCTAAATATGGACTTCCTACCAACTGTGATTGCTCTATTATTTCACAAAGTTGATCCATGAGGTGAGAAATTATGGTGAAATATCATTTTACAGAACTGAAGAACTTGTTTGTGGAAGTTTGATAATTTAACTGGAATCTTCGTCACTTCAAAGTCACACTTTGCAAGGAAGTCAATTCCAACCAGTTGCTTAAAAATGGAGGCAGGGATATGAAACCACATTGAATTTTGTTGTTGTAAAAATGTTTTTAGCCATTTTGTCCTAAATGTACCAAAGTCTAGTGCATTGATACCACCTTTCTCATATTTTTCACTACATGGGACCTTTTAATATAATGAGTCTTATTTTTAACAAAAACTGAAAAATAATGGAATTAGCTTTCCTTATGTTTTGTGGTGACATAGAATATAACATGCACATAGAATGAAATTAAGCTTCTGTGCTCTACAATCAGCAGAGTTTGAACATTTGCAGTGACTCAACACTGGTTTGCATCTCCTTGCAGTAAAATCCTACAACTTGTGAAAAATTAAGTGTACAAACTTGTAGTTAGTGTTGCCCGCTACTGAAAGGCAGAAGGCCGGCGGTAATGTTTGATCATATTTGTGATAATATTTTTATTAAACTCGCAGAAAGCTAACATCAGAAATACATCTACAATTGATTAATTTAATTCAAGATGGCTGCCGCAGCCAACCAACCTGAAGAGACACAAAAATAGTTACAACTCAATCACATTTACAGATGGTGAGCTCAAATTTGGGGTGGAAGTAGCTGAGACTGATCCCCAACACATATTCTGAGCACTAACGGATAGTAGAAGACTTTTATTTTTTTTTTATTGTTAACTTTTTACACCAACTATGTTAGCAAAATATCTCATGACGCACTGGACAGATTGTCATGAAATAATCAATGAAAGTGATTAACTTTTGGAGCTAACCAAATTCAAGACAAACACAAAAATCCTGTCCATTTTACTATAGTTGGAGCTGGGAGTCCACAGTTTAATGAAATATTTTACTAACAGGACAGACATAAGACATGCACATGGAAAAGCATCATCACCTTCGCTGACAGGCGATAAACACACTAAAGATGGAGTCTCACTCAAACTCAGGCATGAAGTAACATTTCTTTAAGCCCTGAACTGAGTAACTGCTTCAGGAAGATGCTGTAGTTTCATTTTACCTGGTAACGGAGGCTCCGACAGCACCCTTCCTGTCCTGGTCCACGATGATCCGATTCTTGGACAGCTGTTCCTGGATCAGGATGACTTTCTCCTGACCTTTCACAATAAAATAACCCCCTGCAAATCAAAACAAACAAAAACCATCCTGTAAACAGAAGAGCATTCAAAAAGCTGCTGGTGAGTTTAGTTTTAAACGGCCTGACCTGGGTCCAGGGGACACTCGTTTAGTTTGGAAAACTCCATGGGCGTCTTTCCTGTGAGGACACAGTTCGAGCTGCGCAGCATGATTGGCATTCTGGCAAAAGCAGAATTATAAGTTAACAAGAACATTCCATTGTTACATCCTGATTCATGCTCAATAATCCAGGTAGAAAAATCCAACAAAGCTAAGTCAGGTCCTCTGGACAGTTTCTTTTTGACAAGAGAAACCGTCCAGAGGACCTGACTTTATTGGATACCATTGTTACTGTAACAAAAAAATTATAATTCTTAAAATACTTAAAAGAAACAACTATTTTTTTCAGCTGAGAACAAAAACCTCAGATGAGATCTTAAAACAAAAATGATATAAGAGATAAAAAGCACAAAAACCTTCCAATAGGCAGGGCGTTTCGAATGATCCTCTGACTGCCGCGGGTGTACTCGATGTCCACTGTGATGGGTGCCGAGTAGGTCATGTCTCTGAGTCGACACTGAGGAAAAAACACACAGAAGCTACGTCTCAAAGGCAGAAAAACTTGTCTACTTTAAAAACATTCCATACTTTATTATTACAATTATCAATTAATATACCCACAAGAACAACTACTGAATATTTAATTTACAAGAAAGAAGCTAAATTCATCTAATTTAATAAGGCATGTTTTGGTTTACTCATCTTTCTTGTAGCTATTTGTTTAATAATTTAGTTGGTTTTTCCCCCCTTTAATAAAATCGCCTACAGTTTAAAGCAGAAAGTGATTTTCTCTTTACTTCACAGCCCACTGAGCTCACCTCATGAGGAGAAACTGGTCTGGTTACGTTAAAGCTTTCCTCAACGTCAGGCATCCCAACGTAGATATTGAGGTATCTGCACAGAAACCATGTTGTTTATTAACTTGAATGATGAGAATGAGAATGTGAGTGTGCCTGTTTGGACCACTTACTTCAGGTACCACATTGGATCAGCATCACTTGTGATTTTCTCATTGGCTTTCATGATCTTCTTTATCTGGAAAAAAAGGCATTGACACTGACCTAACCTAAACCAATGTGGAAAAACACTGATGTGGGTTTGGGGTTTACCTCAACGTTGATGAAATAGTTAAATGAGTCAATGTGCTGCTTCACCAAACCTTTAATCTGAAAAAAAGTTACAAATAAGAGACTAGTGAAAGATGTTAGCATCATTGTGTTTAGAGCATTTGAATGGGAAAACATCTGGATTTCAGGCTGGTTAATGATATGATGTAAAGTATAGAATATTTGCTGACATTTTATAAATAAATAAAAAATCAGAACGCAAATTTAAGGTTGTAATAAACCATATTCTGAGCAGATAAACAATTTCTTGGCAAAAAAAAAAGGGCCTTGGAGTTGATCAAATTTTTGGTTCTAATTTCAATAAAATTTGCTAAAATAAATCTAAAGCCTTCACCCTAACAGAGCTTCACAGAACTCTTACACAAAATGAACACACTCACATATAGACAGGTGTATGGTACATTCTGTCTGTGAACCAGATAAAATATAATGCCCAGCATTTTGCTAAATTACTGTCATTTGAAAAAGAATAAATTGTAGCAATAACTTTCTTCCTGGGTGCATTTTGTTGGCAGTAATTACCCTGTAAAGTTTCACTGTTTAACCATTTTATTTAATAATGTATTGAATTTTTTTGTGAAAACCTCATATTATCTGGAAAATATATATTTGGTTCATTAGGAAACAGCTTCTTATTTAGTGCTGAAACAAAACAGCATGTTTATGACACTGATCATAATCACATTTTTGATGATTAACAAAAGTTGTTGTTTTTGTGTGTCTAACTGCAACTAACTTGCTCTGTGGCAACTCAACATAACTCACAGTTTAAAGGTGTAGATTTATCATGGTTACAATAGATGATGTGATATAAATTAGGCAATGTAGACTGATGTGTGGACTAAAGTGGTTCTGTTACTCACTTTACTGTGAGAGCTACAGCACTAAAATCAGGTCTAATATTTAGTGTGTTTTTGAATGTGATTCCTGTCCTATTAAACAGATTATAGTGGTTAACTGATACATATAGGAAGGTAAAAGTGCACAGCAAATATATACAGTAATACAATAAAAAAATAAAAGGATTGTGTTACCTTCAGGAATGCTGGTAACAACTTCCATTTTTCCTGTCAAAAAGAAAAATATCACTCATTAACCTAATTTATTTGTCTCACACTCATTTTATTGTGCAGCTGACTTAAAAACTCCAAGCTAACGAGGCTTCTCTTTTCCAGTCAAACATTTCAAACCACAATAACAAACTGCAGCTTCCACATCAGAGCTGAATTAGCTCGCACAAGTGGAGTAAAAACCTCTTCTGTCCGATTTCCATCAAACTCACCGCCACCGTGTTGACAGGAGCCGCGAGCTCCTGAGCCGACAAGTCTCCAAACTCTCCTCCCAGCACCTCCATTGCTAACGCTGCGGTTTAAAGGTAAAACATGCAGAAATATAAATAACGTTAGTGTTGATACAGAGCGCAGGAAGTATCTTCAACATGCGTCCCCACGCTGTGCTTCAGTGTAAACCTTCCCCCTGCAAGTAGGCCGGAACTAAATAAAACGTTCCTCTTGAAGAAAATTCTTGCTCTTTATTTTGTCCCCTCGGAAATCTCGGCGTGTATTTGTAGAATGTCTGCCGTCTAGTGTCCACAACCCGGAACTGCTACTCTGGCCTTGGATAAAATAAAATAAAATAAAATAAAATAAAACATTTTCTGCAAAAATTCAGTGTGAATGCTGAGTGCTGAATAACTGCTATTTTCTGAAGAAGCTCTAACAATTGTTACAGCTAAAAGATAAATGCTAGCTAAAAGATCAAAGTTCATGCTCAGTTTTCATTCAACCTTTATTTATACAGGTTAGTCCCATTGCGCCACCGGGACTCATTTATAAGAGAGACCTGATTTTAACAAAAAATTATGACAACAGTAGGCAATCATAAAAGAAAGCATACTAACTGAGAACAAATGAAAGAAAATGGTATTTAAAAAAACAAAACAAAAAAAGAAGCTAGATCGTAAAGCGATGTAGAAAACTAAAAACAGGGACATGATTGCATCCAACAAAGTTAAGTTAGTTCCTCTGGACAGTTTCTTTTTTTGTTGAAATGTTTCGACCTTCATCCAAATAAAGAAACCGTCCAGAGGAACTGACTTAACTTTGTTGGATTTTTTACCTGGAATATTGAGCATGAACTTTGATGTTTTGAACCACATTGGCCATGGCGGCCTTTGAGTCGTCGACGGGGGAGAGGGCGGACTCCAGAAACCATCTTATGACCAGCAAACTGGTTGGCCCACTGAGTGTGGTGCTTGTGGGACTGAGTTTGTTGTGGCTCCTTGGACTAATGGATGAAGGACGAACCGTTTCAACAAAAAATGAAAATGTCCAGAAGACCTGACTGAACTTTTATGGCTAGCTAAAAGAAACAAAACATCACTTAAAAACAGCAAAGGGAAAGTTAAAAGTAGCAAGCAAAGACTATCTTAAAGTGGCAGCTAAAAGTTGTAAAACTAAAAACTGAAAGTAACCAAAGGCCAGCTAAAAGTGCTAAAAGCAGTTTATAAGCTTAAAGTAGGGGAATAGTGGCCAAAAACTAAAAGTAGAAAAAACTTAGCTAAAGGCAGCACAAGAAGTCAAAATTAAACTAGTGACCCATCAACGAAAACAAGGTTTTTAAACTGAAACGAATGTGTGTACGTCTCAATGTGATGCTATGAGGACATTTTTGTAAATGAAGTTAAATATTTTCCATTCATCGTAGCCACTTTCCCATGCAGGGTAAGCCTCGTGGAAGCTGGTGCCTATTTCCAGCGGTTACTGGGAGAAAGGCTGTGTTAAAAATGAAATATTTTGATACAAAAATGAAAAGCCACAGCACACATTTCATGGATAAACTGAACATTTTAAGATATCAAAAAACATACAGAAAAACAAGCGAACAGAACAAACAATAATGTGAAGGCTGTATCAGTATTCACACAATAAAACACAAGACACAATAAAACACAATAAGACACAATAAGACACAACACCTCTCTTAAAGGATATTTGTTTGTTCATTTATCAGGAGGAACAAAACTCTAACAACTGAAAATTAACAATAAAAAGGAACAAAACAGCTTTTAGGGCATTATTAATGTAACTTTGTTGTACTGTTATTTTTATATAAACATATTGGAAAATTATGATTATTGTATTTGTTTTATTCTTGGGATGTATTTGTTCATCTTTCATACAACACCAGAAGTGAGTACTGTATGCTGATAAAAAATATTAAAAGTATTTGTTACATATTTGGGTGCGGGTCAGTGTATTGGATGTGGTCAGTCAGTGCGGGTGCTGCCTGATGTGTCTGCTGTTGCTGCTGAGCAGTTTGGGGTACGCCGTCCCGAGCGAGCGCCCCTGCCTGATGACCACCAGCTCCATCTGACACTGGTCGATGTTCACCAGCACCGTGGTGCTCCTCTCTGTGTTCATGAGGAAGAGGACGGTGAACAAGGCCATCTCAAACTCCGGGCTGGTCCCGATGAAGGCGCTGCCGACGGGCTTCACCATACCGTGCCAGCTGAACTGCAGGTTCAGAACGTGGTCGTCCTGATCGGGCTGCAGGAGGAACCAGAAATGAGCTGTGAAAAACAGCTGGTGGTGAGAGAAAAGAAGTCTCCATCACGTGCTGGACTCACCAAGTCGTGATCTCTGGCCTTGTACCCCTTGTAGTCCAGGTGGCTGCTCTTTTCTTGCAGGTAGAACTGGACCCAGTTGTGAAAACCTATTATTTCTGCTCCAGATTTTGTTTCACCAACAAAGACGTGTTCGAACCCACAGGAGTCCAGACTGTCGCACAAACGAGACTTACTTCAGGCTTCTCACAAACCAAAAAAACAAATGTTTAAAACAAATGTATAAAACAAATGTATAAAACAAATGTATAAAACAA